TTACGGAACAACTCAATATTTATTAAATCTCTCTGCACCATTCAGATGCCTCTAATCCTTCGATATCTTGTATGTGTCTCCTATTTGTTGAACTGTCGCGCCTTTCGAAGGCAATAAGATAACTCGAGTGTCCAGCGTGCCTCTGGCGACGCAGAGCAGTGATTAAAGAGTTACATTAGCCCTTATTTCCTGCGGGGAAAATCGATACGACGGCTCTCTCGAGCAGGTGTGAGGACGACGACGGTCGGCAACGAAACATGTACATGAGCATAAATCACCGACGTGGACCCGTTGTCGAACGTAAACCTGTCGCCGATCTCTAACGAGCAAAAAAGGATGAACGAACGTATGCGACTCGGAAGTCTCGCGAGCGAGCGTGCGGTGCATATAATGTGGCTGTAACGTGCTTTAACCGCACGTACGGTGTTATTGCGACGTGATGCCGACGTGAGCGCGGTCTGTTTCAGGGATCTCTAAACGTTTCCCGAGGAGCGGAAAACGTGTCTCTTAAACACTACATTATAGGCAGAAGCACGTTCTCGAGAGGGAGAAGAGATGATATTTTAGTAGTAAATTTTGCGTCGAAGAGAAGTGCAGTGTATTAAGGGATTTGGCTTGACTGCTGAGTCTACCATTTTGAATTTACATTTTGATAGTTAATTTGAAATCAGTGACCCTAAAAACTTGTATAATCGTCTCAATGTGAGACGATATATCTTTCTCGAGAAAGCCGAAGGTACGAAAAAGTTAATTGTCATAAATTGAAGAGAAATTTTGTCAGTTAGTAACGATCGTTTGGAGAGACGAATTTTTTATTGTCTCAAGATTTTGTCCCTCAGACACATGAATTAGAGAGTGGCTTCCTCCGTTATCGATCCGCGGCAGGCACAGCTGAAAACGGGAGTGGCACAAGCTATAATTTCATTAGGTCTACCAGCTGCGGACAAGCAAGTTTGGAAATCATCGAAGTGAGGGTTAGTCTAACGCGATTAAAATATGACAGATAATCGGGACTGAGTTCGGCGCGATAAGTCGTTCACGAAAAATCACTTGTAAAAAATCGACTCGCATGTCACGCTAATCTGGCTAATTCTTTGAGTGAAAAAAAAAACTTTCGTATGAAAGAAGACACAAAGTCGCGTAAAATATCAACGTGATATTAAACGAAGAAATAACAATGATAATTGAAAATATTCGGAGGGAACTGTGACGTTATACATAAATAATTACGTTAAAAGAAACACAACGTTAATTGCTTTAGCTCCAGACATTTGGATTAAACGAGTGCACGTGTGAGAAGTCAATTTTCGTTGTGAGTGTCTTTAGTTTTGTTGTGCAATAAATAACGAATCCGGAAATTTTCTCGGAAAATTTCCGGATTTACACATAATTATTCCTCCCCTTAATCGCCGCGTTTTGCGGCTGTAACAGCATGTTACGTAGGCGGGAAAGACACGGGCCCGATATTATCGAGAGAGGTATTTACGTTCGCAAGTGGATTAGGTCAATGCTCGGCAAACATTGCGATATGTTCCACCGATCGATAAGCTGGCAAATATACAGTGGCGCACGAAAGCATTTGAACAGTTTCATTCGACTTGCAATCGTATCGCCGTTCGCACACCGTCACAATCTACTATGTGTGCGCAAGGCACGATATGAATTGTGTCGACATCGCAGTAAGTTTACAATCCGTTGCGGCATGTTGCTACAAATCTCGCTTCCCGAGTTATCGTCGCATTATGCAATTTATTCGCGTTTAGCAGAACTCTAGGGAAAACACACATAGACACACATATTTCAAGACGGAAATTTCGTGTCACATTCCGCGATTCCGTGATTTCGCGTTAACCCTTTGTATCAGTTCTATTTGCGAAAAGAATTTTTGTCTTCTTATTACCGTTTTGTAGCAGTACAGACGTGGTGTCTGATTTTTCTTTTGTAATTTTCCAATCGACCGTCTTGGAAAAATCAAGGTGCCAGTCGAACGTCATGATCAGGACAGCGCGTAAAGTTCGACAGTACGCATACGCAGAATGCCGGGTGCGTGGGGTCACCGCCGCGTGGCTTTATCGATTGTCGTGCGCGTATACTGGCCGTCCTGCGGGGGCCTGTCGGAGGCATGGCGCAGGAAAAGGAGGGAAACCTCGTAATAAAGCAGTTGCACCTGTTACACTCGAGCGAGCACCCGAACGCCGCCGCATTATCAGTGCGCGCGTTCTACTTGTCGCGTATAAAAGCCGCTCAGGTTGGGAGCGAACGGCGCGCACTTTTCCGCCTCTGAAGTAAGAAAAAAAGTGTAGCAAAGCGCAATCCGCGCAATCCGCGTATCTGAGAAGCGGAAGGAGGCAAGTTCGAGAAATGGCTCTCCTTCTCTCAGCAGAAGTCCCTTTCTCTCAGTGCATAATTAATTCAGCACGGTATATTTGCCTTATGTATATAAAGCAATTTGAAAAATTATGTACTTTCCATCATCAGTCTCGCGTCGTGATATTCATATTTTATGTTAAATTTTTTCACAAGCTGTCAATTAAGATTCTCTAAAATTACACACACACACACACACACACACACACACACACACACACACATATATATATATTATAACGCGTTATACGCGCTTTCTTTTTGCTACCTTGTTTTTCCCGCTATATATAGTTCGTTGTCGACGGAAGGGCAAAGAGACATTTTCTTCCCGTAAAGGTTGTAGTGTTACAAGATAAACGCGTCGCGTTTTACATAATCGAGCGTGTTACCCAGGAAAACGCAACTCGGACGTTCGGAATGCGACTTGAACGGTGTGACGAAACGACACCGTTTTACCGGCGTGTGATGCAATTGGCAATCCGTGACGTAACTGACGATTGAATTAATTCGTCTCAATCGAGGGAGATAAAACTAAGAAAAAGCGCAAGATCGCGCGGATACAACTCTGAGCTGTTATTACAACGAATTTCACGCGATGAGCGCGCGCGTGCACTTTCGCAACGCTGTCCCGCTTTTCGCAACGTTTACGCCTCCGGAGAGGAGGACAATGGAAGATTCGCGGCTGCTTCACGTTGCTCAAGTTTACGTGAAAAATCACACCTTAAAATCACGACGCACGTACAAGCTGTATCTCACGGTCATATCTTTCAATGGCAGATTCTCGAACTGATAGTGAGTCGATTTTCTCCAGGAACAATTTCTACAAAGTTCTTTATAAGCTTTTTTTTACTTTTAGTAAAAAAAACTTCCGTTGATTTTATTTAAATATCTTAATCAAAGAGTAAATTTCTCGATTTGTTATTTCTTTGTAAATAAATAGAAAGAAATATTATTTTTTCTCGTTACATAAGGATTCTTTTACTATTATTTGTTTCAAAATAGCGAAAATCTATTTATAGATTTTGATTTTGTTGCGCTGCTATTTTTATAGTTGAGGCTTTTTTGCATCTTTGGATGTCCAAAAAAAATATGTCCAAAAATATTGACTTTTAGCAAAGTTATGATAATTCTAGGTTGCCCGTATCTGGCAGTTCTGGACTATATATCATAACAGTATATCATAAGAAATATGATGACAGTTAAGGGTTAAAATCGCAGCAGGAGTTCGCGATCCGCGTTTCGCGTTTCGCCGAGCGCTCTCCGTTCCGCCGTCATCCGCGAAGAATCGGTTTCTCTCGCTGGCGTTCTTTTACGCGAGACTCGCCGTAATTTCATATTTATACTCGATCATTTGCATAGCGCGCGCACCACGTGTGCGTGACGACGCGGCCGTCTAATTTATCACGTAGGATCACACGTGGTGACCGAATTTCCTTTCATCCATCGCGCTTTCTCCCGTCGTCGCTGAAAAGCGCGCCTCCGCGCAAAGAGAATACGCTCTTCTCTTCTTTCTTCTGTCTATTTCACTCGAAATGAAGAAGTCATTTATATATAAGCCACCACTGATATATAAGCCACTTATATAAGTCACGATATATCACCACAAATAAATTAGTAGATTTAATCGGAGAAGAAAGAATAAGTAACTGATGTTGATCGACTGAACTTGACACTTCGATTAACTATTAAAGCGACTCACAAGTTCATGCATATTTGTTACGCAGTTACATTTGTCCTAGTCAACTATTGCCGATAAATTGACGACAAATTATGGTAATGTAAGAATACATCATTGATAATGAAAAGACGAGCTCTGTATGTTTCATTTATCCCGTTTTAAACTTCCTCGATAGATATGCATGAATTTATGGAGCGGTTTGACGTAAGTCGAACCAAATTGGATGTCAATGATAATCGCACACGTCACCAGTTGCTTGTACAGGACATATCAAAAGCGATTGTTTCCATCGTCAATTGCAGATTTCCCGATAAAATTGAAACATATTTTCCCATTGCGTGAGTTTCACGGGAAGTTCAGCTCGTGAATTCTTCCGCCATCATTCGACGAAAGTCCCACTTTTAAACAAAGGGATTCTTATTAGCTTGTTTAAAGCAGCGTTTCTGTTCCATTCGTTTCTGGTCGATTCTGTTTTATCTATTTCTCACAATTCCTAAATTACATCTATTTTATGACCCCCACAAATGATAGCAAAATATCGAATAACGCCCAACGTTATCTCTGACCACAGAAAAAAAAGTTTGGTTAAATTGATTTGGCAATATAAATATATTTTAATTGAAGCAAACAGGATTCCTGAATCTTAGAAATTTAATTCATAAGAATCACAAAATTCTATTTCCTTTATTGAAAACGCGTTTATTTATTGTCAGGTTAGGTCCCGTAAATAAGATTAGGTTAGTTTTTTTATTAGATTAGATTAGGTTGGACTGAGTTGAATTAATCAGCAACAAATGAATGAAACACGTATTGATTGAAAACAAAATTTTTATATACGTTTAGTTGAAATTATTTCCCCAAAGCAAATTTGGTAACTGTTATCCAGGCTCGATAGTTATTACTAAACCTTTTTCCTGCGAAAGTCGATCGCATAAACAAAAAGAGTATAACTTACCGGAAGTGAGCGACATCGTTTGTTGCCTCCGCGATCTGGAGTTGTCCCGCTTTCCAGCAGCCGACTGCGACCCGGAGACTTGAAGACCCGGCGCGCTGACGGCGCGTTTCGGCCCGCCGATCGCGCCGGGTACATTGCTGTTCCTGGCGAAGCCAGGTGGTCGATAACGGGCGGACTTGACGCCGCTGTGTTGCGGCAGGAAGTGGTAGACACTGTGCGCCTTGTGCATCGGCGAGGACGACGACGACGTGGCCGACGTCGACGCTGACGTCGCGGTGAGGCCGGCAGGCACGCCCGACGCCGGCAGACGTGGCAGCGAATTGGTCGCCGCGGAGATCGCGGATTGCATGCCACGTGGAAGAGTCGTTGCACGTGACTCGCCACCGTACTCCAGCTCGTCCTCGGTGTCCTCGTCGCCGGCGGATGCACCTGCGTCAATTAGAGAGAGCCAAAAGTGGAGAAACCGCACTTTATCCTTACCATATCGATTAATTTTTCTCCACGCGTAATACTGAGACTAGGAAGATAGTCTTCCGTTGATGAGCAGATGTTAACGTGTGTATCGCTTATTCATGAGTATTATGTATTCATAAGTACGCATCCGTTCATGCTCGACGACGCGATCCGAGAAGAAAAAAAAAACGGTTCTATAGAAAGGAAGCTATAAATAGATGTTTAGCAATTCTCTTTTCTCTTGTGCACGCGTATTGGAAATCGCAGCGTTCATTAATTCGGTTCGTAATCAATAGTGGCCTGAGGGAAAAAATGATTGATTCAACTAAGATTATAGTTATTTCCGGCCTATATTTTTTGATTGCTCCAGCACGAAAATGGCAAGTAGTAGTACAAGTAGTATACAAAGTTACCATCATTAGTATTATAGTAGAATTGAATAAAAACATGGTTTTCTTGACTATATTTTATGGTAATTATTTTTTCCTATGACAGTTACAAATTTTTTTTTCTCACAGTGTGAGATGCGTCCCTTTCTCTTGCAAATTTTTCGTCACGCGCCAAATACGCCCGGCGATAGACCATTTCTCGATGGATAGTCCGCAAGATACACGAGTGGTGTGTGCATACTATTTACGCGACGTAATTTGGTCGATTGTAATCAGCCGGCTCATATTTACCTGTTCAACACGGAGCTAATAAGTAAGAGAGTAAAACAGAGAATCGAGATCGCGTGCGGCGCGCGAAGAGGAGCATGGCGCGCCGAGTTGCTTTCACGCTTCCTAATTCTTCCCCTACGCGTCTTAATTTAACAATAAATACAATCAAATTGAACAATCGCGGCGTGCGTGCGTGCACGCTCGCACTCGCTTGCTCGTTTTATTCATTCCACATCAAATCCACCATTCGGAACCGATCCGTCCGCTCGCGCCGCGGTAATAATTGCGATGGGAGAGAGAGGGGGAGAGAGAGAGAAAAGAAAAAGAGAGAGAGAAACAAGGAGCAAAAGAAGACGACGGAGAAATATGCGTTGAAGACGCGAGGAGGAGACCGTGCTGTAACGCCAATTACCGCCGTTTCCGTGATGTAATAGAATCGCTCCGCGTGGAGGAGCCCTCACGAGGCCGCCGCGACCGGACGAGCCGGTGTCACGCTCGACTCACCTGACTCTCCCCTGGTGTTGGCGTCAGGAACGGAAGATCTCCTCCGGTTGCTCCAAATCCTCTCCTCGATGGAGCCGCTGCTGCAGCCACCGTTGCCACCGGCGGTCCCGCCACCGCCACCGCCGCCGCTACCGCCGCCGATGGAACCGCAGCTCCTCACTCTGTCTAGTTGCTCTCTGGAGAAACTCTTGGGATTGAATAAAAGGTCACCGGCGCTGCGTCGCTTCGCCGCCATCGCCAAGGCACTGGCACTCGCACTAGCACTGCCACTGACGTCACCAGAGCAGGCCAATAGACTCAGCTTCGTCCTGGAGTCGGCCGCCATCAACGCGGACTCGAAGCTGCCGCGCCAAGAAAACCTCTCGTAGTCGCTCGCCTCGCGCTCCTCGCCTTCCTGACCGGTCGAGGCCGCCGGGTGGCTGTTAATCAGCAATAACGGGTCGTGCGACTTGGATCTGGGCAATTGCAGGTGAGTCGACGAGGGTGCGTTAGTGGAATCTGACGTGGAGTCATCGTCCTCAGTGGTGGACGCTGAGGATGGGGTGCGGTGATGTTGGGAATACCGCCGCCATGAGGTGTTGGAGTGATGTTGCACCGCTGGTCCACCTTCGGAAACCTCGTGCATCAATGCCACCAGTCGGCTACCGATATGATGCATCACCTTGGCGATCAATGGTGGGCTACTGTGCGGCGTGGAATTGGCGTCCGAGCTCACACCGTCGCCCGCCATCTTCGTGAAACTCTGCACTAGCTTTTGATAAACGAAAGCGGTGTCTCTGCCGAGGCAAGGTGGTTGCGACATTACGGAATTGCCCGGCACGCCTCTCATTTGGTCCCTCTCTTTGTCCAAGAGAGTGTTAGCGCCGTCGCCAGACGTGGTGTCAAATTTGCTGATGATCTGCTGGCAACTCTGCGAGATTTGCTCTTGCAAAGCTGAACGCCGGCCACCAGCGGCGGCGCCTTCCAAGTCCGAGCTGGTGTAGTCGGAGCTGTCGTAGGAATCCGACCACGTGTCCTCTGAGCTCAGATACTCCACGATCTCGCGCACCTGTTCGTCGCGTATACCCGGTACTGTCTTCATCAGTCGCGTCAGCTCGTTCTCAAAGTACACCAGTTGCGGTGGTTTCGTGCGGTTCTGTGTGCAGAGTCGTGCCTTCGACGTGTAACTGGCGAGTCGTGGACTCGGTGCCGGAGAGGCGCCGCTGGAATTCGTCGCGTTCGCGTTCGCGTTTTGACCGTTCGAATTGGCCACCATCGTCTTGAAGAACTGTCGCATCTTCGACATCATAAGATTCGTCTCTTCGTCGCTAGACCAGTTGTTGAAACTGTCCTTGCGCGAGAGCGAGACATTCGCCAAGTGCGGCAGGCTCGCGGTGTGATTCACCGGGTGCTTCGCAAGGTTGCTCTTGTCCGTGATGGCGATCTCCTCGGCGATGCTTTGATTCGCGCCCGAAAGATGGTCGTTGGTCTTGTTTGACGTGCGCTCAGCACCACTCGATTCGTGGTCGATCTCTGGACTATTCGCTTGGTTGCTTTCGTCTGGGAGTTTCTGATGCTGGAGGAGATCGTCGCAGCTGCCAACAAAACCGGAGTCTCTCGACTGTTGCTTCGAGCGTTGGCTGTAGCTTATTGCGTCACCCGGAGTCACCTGAACGTTCCTCGAGGTGTCCATCTGAGATGATGAGGCGTTCGGAGTGTTGGTTAAAGTAGACGGCGATGACGACGAGGACAACACCGATTCTGGTTGAGGAGTCTTCGCCCTATCTGAATCTTCCGAGTTTATAGTTTCGTTCTCGTTCTCCACCACGACCTCGCTCATCAGTGTCATTTCCCGATTGGGTTCTGGTGTCTTGTTGCGGTCGTCAGGAACACGTGGACTTTGAGTGCCCAGATTCCGTGGTTTCTTCTTTTTACGTTTTACCGTGTCGAACTGGCCGTCCGTACCGAAAACGGCGGTTTGACCATCCTCAGTACCATCAGTCTCCGTGGATGAGCCCTCGGACTGAGTCTCTTGCGCGTCCTGATTGAGACTCAAGTCTTGCAACGAGTTTTGTGAACTCAGATTCTGCGAGCTCTGCGTGAGAGCTAGCAAGTTGTCCAACGAGGAACTGTGAGATCTGCCGGTACCTCGAGCACGGACCAGTTTCTTCCTCCTCTGTGCCTCTGGGCTAGGTCTACCCTCAGAGTCACTGCCCACTGAGCCGTCCGAGTCTCTCCTGTCTTGATCAAAGCCGAGAAATTCCGAAAGATAATATTTCTCTAGCCTAGAAGAATTCAGGAAACTGTCGCTGGAGTTTGCTCTGTCCTGATTCTGACCAGTGCCGTTTGCCTCATCCTGTCCAAGTGACTCCAGTCCTTCTGAATATATTGAGGACGTCTCCGACAAGCTATCGACCTCGCGCGAACCCATGCTGGAGTTATTACCGTCGCCACCCAACCCGAAGAAGAAGTACTTCTCCAGCTCGGAAGCAGAGGGTGGTCGTGGCTTCTTTGAAGGACTTCCCGTAGCCAGACTCCCGGGTTCCGTCTCACTTTCTTCGCAGGACTCCTCGACGATGGTGTGCAGAGTGAAATCAATTGCTTGTCTACGGTAGCCACGTAGCTCTTCCTCACGATCGCCGAAATTGTTTGCCTCATCCTCAGAGCTCTCTTCCGTAGCAGTGGTCGCACCCGGCTCGTCTTCATCGTGCGACACTTCCTCGACCCAAGAATCGTCATCCGCAAGACCCTCTTCAAGTATAATGACTCCACCGCTGGCCGAATTGTCGTCGCTGGACTGTGACGAGACACGTGGACGCGCGCCATCACGATTATCCACCACGCGTTCCTTCGACGTGTCCTCTGCGCCTTCCGCGCGGCAATTAAGCCTCGATGAGTTGTTCGCGTTGTTCTTCACAGACACGTCGTCGCTTTCACTGGCACTACCCACACTTAAACCACTGTCCGCTTCAGGTTCAGACTGATGGCTTACTGTGGCCGTCACAGCGGGTAGTCTCTTCACCATCAACGGTCTACGAGGAGCTTGGCCGTTCTTGCGCGATGGCTGCTCGCCTGCAGCCTCCAGCGCCAGCTGAAAGTAGCCAGCCAGGCCTTGTCCAGCCGAATGGATTTCATCTGGCTGCAACAGCGTAGTAGTATCCGAGGTGACGACGTTCACTGGCTGATACGAGGCCTCCTGGGTGATCATCACGAGGCTCCTATATTTGTTGCTGTTGCTGCTGCTGCTGTTGTTGTTGTTGTTGTTGTTGTACGCCGCCGAGGGAAAGTACTGGGTGTCTCTGGCAAGATCCTTGGCCGAGGCGTCAGCTGGGAATCCATTCTCCTTACGAGTGCACGGGCGTCGCTCGACTGAGTGAAACCGTGTCGCTCCCCCCTCCGCGAGACTCTCACCATTACTACCACCTCCACCACCACCATCACCGTTGTTACCATCACTGCCACTTCCTCCCACCTGACCACCAGCAGCGGCGGTCGCGATCTCGCCTCTCACCGGGCCGCCGTCATGCGCACTGTCCACCTTGCCGGCGCCCTCCGCGCTCCTCGACGTTTCCTGACTCTTGCTAGATACCGCGTCGCCCACGTCGACGACTCCTACCAGCTCTCCCGTCGCCACCGCCGTCGTTGTCGTCGTCGTCGTCGTCGTCGTCGTCGTCATCGTCGTAGGGTCGTTGTCTTCCGCGCCATTTTGCTCCTCCGTTCTTCCGGCGCGACGACGCGTGACTGAGCGATCGCTGTCCTCGTCATCGTCGTCCTTCTCGCTGATCATCGGCGCCGTCGTTGTCGTCCTCATTGTGTCCGCGACGTCGATCGAACTCTTGTTCACGGACCACCCGCTGACCGTCCTCTCGGACTGCACGCTCCGCTTGACGTCGTTCTTCGTCATCGTCCTCGTGTTCGCCGAACTCTCTTTGTCATCTCGATTAGACCTGTGGAGATGGTAACCATTCGGCCGAGTAACGTCTCCTGTAGCGTTCTCCACCTTCTCTCGGTTGATTCGGTGCAACAGCTCGCCGTTGATCGCGGCGACCTCGTAGCCGAAGTCGAGTGACGACTCGGCCACCGTGGCCAGCTCGTATTCGTGTAGTTCGTCACTGCTCACCTCGCTACCCGTGGTGTTGCTCTCGTTGCCGATGTAACTGTCGATGGAAGCGTCCACGATAACGTCGCAATCCGTCGCCGATAAACACGGCTTATCTCCCCGCTTCTCGTGATCGCTGTTGTTTCCATTCGCTGTGCGCGATCGCGCCAGCCGCTGTTCGTGGTCAGAGACGGCGCACGGCGTCGAAGAGATGCGAAGTTTGCTCTGCTCGTTGACGGCGTCGTTGTCCTCGGGCGCCGGCTCGCCGGAGATCTCAAGGGAATCCGGGACGATGGTGGAGTCCCAAGCGTCGCTCGAGGGTGACTTGGGCTCTACCAAATCGTCTTGAAGAAGCTCAAGTGTCTTCGAGCGATCGTTCTTCAACGTAGAATCTGCAGTTTTCTCTTCGAAATAAGTCGATATCTTTGAGACGGGGATCTGGTTAGTCTTCATAATCGATGTTACAGGTGGATCGATGCTGTCGGGATCGAGTGTCCGGATGGATCTCAGTTCGATCCGATTGCCGGAGCAATCATTATCGTCCGCTAAATACATCTCCTCAGGAATAGATCGATGCTGCAGCAGAAGGGGGAGTCTCTTGTCGCTGTTATCGACTCCATCTCTTCTGCTGCGGTTTCTTCGTTTGTCGCTTGAATTGCTGACGTGATTGTTCAACGGCTTAACGTCGTCTTCGGCTTCGTCGTCGATCTTGAAGCAACTTTTTGGCGTTTCCAGGTTGGCTCTACTATGCTCCTTCCGCTCGTTCTCCACAAAAGCATCCTCATTCAGCAGTCTCACATGTTGCAGCACCACCGGCTCTTCTTCGGAAATCGCGGTGACGCGCTTCAGGGTCACACCGCCCTCCGCCGCGGAGTCCGAGTCGTTCTCCTCGTTGTCCTCGATGTCGTTGTCGCTGGTGAGTGAGTCATCGTTGACCACGAACACTCTGGAGAAGCGGTGCGAGCTGGAATCTTCCTCCAGATCGCTGCTGTCCGCCGACGAGCGACCAGACGAACTACCTGAGTCTTCTCGCGAGTGCTGGTACATCCTCTGCGCGCTTCTATCAAAGGATGAAGATAGCGAGTCCCCGCTGGCAGCTTCCACCTCGTTCTCTTCTACTTCCTCCTCATCACCTTTCTTACATTCGGCTGCAATATCCTTTGTCTCGTCCGGTCTTGCTTTACTCTTCGCGGTGGCGCAAATGATAGGCTCGCTGGTGTCCTTCATCGACGAGCTCTCCTTCTGTAGCGGCTCTTCCGCTTTCGACACGACCTTGGCGTCGTCTCTCACGTCTTGGCTGTTATTCTGCACGTTGCTGGACGCCGAACGTTGTTGCTGAGACGACTCGTAGTTTGCCGACGGCACCGTTGTGTTCTCCGTTATCGGTCCGTAAAGTCTCGGTGTCATCACCTGATCCGGTCGGAAGGTGCAGGTGGTCGGATCGAAGGCGCCAGTCAGCCGGGGATCCAGACGGGCGCCGTGAAGAGGTTGATTGAAGCGAGGATGCCAGGCGAACCAGGGTGCCGCCGGATCGCCTCGCAGCCTCAGAGTTCCCGGCTCGGCATGGCCGTCGCGGCTTATCATGGATGAGGCGGCCGCTGCGAAGTCGCCGGTCCACAGAGCTGCCGGTACCGGCACCGGATACGGAACCGGGACCGGTATAGGCACCGGCACCGGGAGTACGTTCGCGCTACGGGAACCGCCGCAAGCCTGGATAGAACGAGAAGATGATGGCTCGCGATTGACCGTCTTGCGAAATTGCCTCTCCTCGATTTTATTATAATCCTTTATATTTTCACACATAATTTACTTATTATTGACGAGATACGTATGTTGAAAAATTATAATTCTGAATCTTATTTCCCGTAAAATTCTATCCTAATCAATAAAAACCGTCGATGAAAATAGATTGGCTCGAGAACCGACGATGACCATTCACGCTACATGGTCGTTTATCGATTGTCGTAAAATCAGCATGAGGCGTCGCTCGATACGAGTAGGCATGTACGGCTTATTGACAAAGTGTGACCGTGAATTCCGCATAGCCACGCGACTCTCTTCGCTAGTAGAACGTGAATGATTAATTTCGTTGGCAATGTGTTTGTCAAACGGATGCAGTGAGCGGCACCCGCGTCGCGGTCACACGAGTTGCGTTCAACGGCAATTTTATGCGCGCTCACGAATTGTGCATTGTATCAGAGTTTTTTTTAAATCTCTGAACACCTCGAGATGTCGCAATTCCAAAATTGAAACATCGCAGAATCTCAAAATTCTAAAATATTGCAAGCACAATGTTTAAAAATTTTTTATTTCAAAATCTCGATGTTTCAAAATTTCATAATCGGCGATTCTCGAAGATTCTTTTACATTTCATCATATTTCACGAGGTTGTAAAGCAAAATCTATTGAGAATTTATTGAAACTTACACTATATGTAGATTGAAATATCATTCAATTTCTGATGCAATTAGAAAAAGATTGACCACTCAAAAGTTGAGATATTCGAAATTAAAGTTAGCACTTTTAATGTGTTCCTTGGAGTTGTACTTTTTTAATTTCTACTTGAAATTTTTATATCGCAAAATTTATTTTTTCATTGAAAGAAATTATAAAAAAATTAACGAACGGTTCCCCCTTGAGGCACCGCTGCAAAATAAGAGTCTCACCCGCCTTACAACCTCCTCAATAATTAGGAACACAATGGTACCTGACAAGCGGCCGAGCCGCGTCCCGGACAGCAGCTCCAGTCTTGAGCGACGCCGTGATCCGCGCCGACGTGGTTACCGACGCCGATGGCAATTGCGGGCAGCGGCAGGCTGCCGCTCTCGAAGTAGTCCCAGTCGCAGTCCTCGAGCGACTGTGCGTGGCCGCCGTTGCGAGGCAGTCCGTTCAGGTAGGACGAGCTCGAGCAACTGCTGTCGGCGTCGTCCTCCTCACGGCCGGACGACGAATCCGAACTGATGAACACCAGCCGCCTGTAGTCCACCGTCGGTGGCTGTTCTTGGCCCTGGCAGCCGCCAGACGGATTGGGACTACGCTGTCGACCGCGTCCGATCAGGTGCAACGTCTGCAGACTCTGCAAGTCCTCCGTTCCGCAACAGGACCTCGCGTGCGATCTGCCGCGCCGCCGTGAACCTTTTCCAACAAACGCGAGCTCTCTTCATTCACGATTCACTGATCGCTGCTCTATCACTGGCGCTGGCGATGATGATTCAGCTCCAGAGCACCGATAAGATCGCCCGGGATTGGCGAGATAATCGATCAAGACATCGGCTCGGGATTTTCCGATAAACTGCGCTAATCAACGCGATCGGGAGTAGTTGGTGTGGTAGTCGTTATCGTTTTTATCGATTAGATACACGATGTTTCACAAGCTCGAATTAGGAATTGTGTGAGCGTCGAGTTTCGCTTGGAAACACGACGATACTATCTTGGTAGACGTTCAAAGGGTGCGGGATGGCATGCAATGGACTCCGTTTGTACCGACCGTAATTTTAAACTCCGTCTGTCGCACAGTTAAGCACAGTGATCTAATAAAGAGCCGGACGGAGCGGCAACGCGGAAAAGAACGCGGTCGTATGTAACGGGTGCGCGCACCCTTCGCAGCGTCTCATTTACGTTGTAGGCGGTGAGCGAATTACGATGCTGTTGGGAGCGAGCTGTTGGATGCGCTTAAAGGAAAACGAAAAAATACGCGCTAATGTCCCTCCTGGTCGTGAACTAACTCCTGAATGTTACGAGCGTGTCCATTCGCACGGCGCTAACGAACCACATTGGCGAACTCGGACTTCCGATGGTTACAGGCACGGCATCGCCGATTCATGGATTCGCTCTCGATAGTCGATAAGGGAAACGCGATGTGTAGACTTTCTTTCAACGGGATTACACGGATTGTGTGGTAGCGAGAGCTTCGGAAAAGTCATGTTATTGCCTTTATGGGATCAAATCTCGGAATGGGGTGGGTTTCATCCCTGTTTTTCTTGTGTCAAATTAATCTCTAGGGATTTTACGTAATTGCTGAATTAAACTAAGCGTGTACAACGCTTCATGTATTGAAGAAAGATATGTGTGAATTAAATTAAGCGAATAAAAAATGTTTCAGCTCGTGAGTCAAAAACATTTCTCAAACGTTTCCAGACTATGTTGGGACTAATTATTCAATTACGACTTCCCCAGAATAAAAGGTTTAACAAAATTTCATAAGTTTTTTTGCTTCATGTTTTTTAATTATTTATTAAAAATTTGTTTTTGAGGTCAGTTAAAGTAATTTTGTTTAAGTTTGTTAAAAATAAGAGTTTCTTCTTTTCTAAGTGCCCTTGGATTTTGAAGAAAGTAATGGAATTATCCAATTCTCAAATCACTCGAACAAACTTGTATAATAACACTACTCTAAGAAATCATGTAAATAACATTGCAACATAACAAGTTATAAAAAAATTTTATCTCAATATTCACGAGGGAGAATACAAAGAAACAAGCACACAGGAGAATCAACTGAGAATCTCCTTTCCTTTCGTTTAATAAAGAGAAAATATTTCCTTAAAATTCATCTACCGCGATTTTCTGCTTCTCTCGAGCGGAAGACGCGTTTCGAATCTTGACGTGGGCAATAAGCGAATTGCAGTCGACGTTAGCGGCATGCTAATAGTCGCGGCGATAGGAAAACGACAGGATAATGAGCGACGTAATGCGTCGCGCGCAAGACGGTTTCTTTGTCGTTACTCGGTTCACGCTCACGCGTGCGTCAGCCACGTAGGTGGGTTTGGATTTATATCTATTGTGCGGCTTGAAACAATGCACTTTTAGCGCGGGCGCACGCATTGCGCCGGCGGAATGGCGTCTAAATCTCTCTCCTCGGTCACGTCACACCGTCTTGGCTTGTCCGCCCCTCGTGTCTTTTCCACCGTGTAACTACACGCGCGAAATAAATTACATCCTTCGCGCGCCGAGTGCGCGAGTCCGCTTTACAACTCCTTTTACAGCGATCGCGAAGTCGCGGGGTTGACGACGAAATAAGCTCCTTCTTCTCCCGGACGGTCTCCGCGAAGGAGTATCTCGCTGTGCCTTTCCGTCGGCTCTCGGAGAAGAAAAAATTAGGAGAAGAATTAATTAGAAGTAGAATTAAAGAAAAAGAAGCGAAGTAAACATCGATAATCCGGCTTATTTCTTCAAGACCGTCTCGCCATTCGTCCCAACAATACGCGTCGCGTATTGAAAAACGCGACAGGAAAGAAACTGAGCGCGGTCAAGTGTCGGCGATTCATCATGAATGGCGACAGCGGAAAGGGGTACGTGAGGCCTAGGGAGGAAGAGAAGAGAAGAGGAGAGGAGGACAGAATCGGGGCCCGCTCCGTTGGCGCGCTTTATACCCGTTTTTTACGCGTCGCTGAATTACCTGGTCAATGGCATGAGGGAGGCCCCACGTTGCTGTCCGCATGTATGATTTTTCCGCGAGCCCCCTGCTGCCCCTGACTAAACCTTCCCGATTGTTTCTGTGAATGACGTTGTGTGCTACGCGAAATTCCGGCACGAACGAAAAGAGAAGGAAAAAGGAAAGAGAGAGGCGCAATAGACAGAAGAGAGGATTCCAAGACGCGAAAAAGGAAGGACGAGAGAATTGCACGCTTTAGTTTGATTTTCGTGTGATGACAATTCGCGAAAAATATAAAATCTCAAGTCGTATCTAATTCACATTGTCTAGAAGCGTTGAGACAATCGATTCTTGAACGTTTGAATATGCATATTCGCGTCTACGTCTGTCGCCCTCCGCGGTATACACTTCATTGATTATAATTTTACGACATGCGATCTCAAGGAGAAAGCATAGACTTGTTAATACTCTGTTATTGTGTCTCTGTATTATTACAGAGTATCTATATGAATATCTGTATGAGTAACAAATGACTCTCGCGTGTAGAATATATATTTACTTATAAATAACCACTTGTGTCTCTCCGTTTCTCCCAGATTTCACTTTTTTCAAATAGCGAGATCTTACAAACTGAATCTCCCACGACGGAGACATCGGTGTCGAACTCTACGCGAGATAATGCTTCCGGAAATTCGACTTTAGACGGTCAAGCCTTTCGCGTTAGGTTTTTAGTGCAATTTTTGACAACGCTTCGAAGAAACATCGACGAAGTCAGTCAGGCAGAAAGTCCTACTATTCTCTTCACCGACTGTCCCTTTTAGTTGTCCTTGCTGTGACAACGACTTGGTTATCTTTGCACCTACATGCATACTATACAATAAATTCAAAGCGGCACACGCACTATACCACACGCTAAGTACACACACTGCGTTCGATGCGCCGCATTTCTCTTCAAGCACTCCCGCCAGGGTAACTGGACGAATTATTTTGAAATAATAGAGAAATATATATATATATACCTCGTAGATTTTTTTGTTTTTCGAATAAGCCTCTTCGTTATTTACATAGAATTCTATTCGCGAGAGTCACCGAAAGTTCACCGAGGAGTCGCTCTCGGCCACTGACTCGCGAGACTCCTCGCTGTCACTCCAGAGACGTGGGAAAAATCGGTCAGGTGGCGCGCTAAAGCGAAGAGGTCGGTCCCTCCGACCTGATCGTCGCGAAATAAAGGCGGCTTTTATCGTCACGTTCAGGCGAAGGCGAGCCGAGCGATTCGCGTGGGCTACCGCCGCTAAACTGAGAGCGTCTACGCCAAGGGGGCACACCTGAATCCCGCAGCGTCGGTCACTACCTTACTACGACGCCTATAGCGCCGGTTCTATAGTGCATTGCGTCGCGCTATACCGGGTGGAAGGGTTCGGCAGGTGAGGCTTCGTCGTTTTGCCAATCTTCGGCGGGAAAGACGAAACGCGAGAGAAACTCCGTCTCGCGAAGATGCACGCAATGCATTTTGCACTTTGCAGGAGAAATGACGCTCGCTCGTATCTCTGATGGTGCGGAACACTCGCAGGCGATTACGCAACTTTACGATAAACGAAGATAGCGACTGAGAAGCGCTTCGCGATCTCAAGTGCGATATCTCGCGTGATAACGCGCTAGAGAACTGAGAGAAGAACTGATGAATTAGAAGTATTTTAAAGAAAATCCCTAAGACATGCTGTACTGTGTGAGAGTTAGAGATGTGACTTATCAGGCAATAAAATCGTCATTTTATCCGCAACTTCATTCAAATTAATTTATATCTTTCCGTGAAAGAAACGTTCAAGAATACTTTCGGATAGACTCGAAAATAATTTTCCAGACTTATTTTTCACGACAAATAATGCAGAAAAAAAAATTTCTCTGTAGCGACAAATGATGATTCCTTCAAAAAATATTCTCTAATTAAAAATAAACTTTAAAACTTGTCAAGTGTATCTCTTCATAAGAAATATTCTATAACGACGTGTAGAATTTTATTAGCTATCAGATAAAAAAATGAATCAATCCGTCAATTTTCCAAATCAAGTCGGAGAAAACCCTTGAGATAGAATTCGCGAGTGTCGACTTTTCTTCGCGCATCGTCCGTTTCATTATTCAGCCGCTCGTACACCACGGTGATTCCACGCCACCCGGTATACTCGCGGCACAGGTGAGCGGACTATAGAGCGCCAGCAGGGAACGTTGTTACACTATTATTCCTATGCTGTTTCCCTGGGCCCCGCTTCGCTTCGTCTCACCTGCCCGCTTCGTCCGCGCCACGTACGGACGATTCCGTGCCAAAACGATCATACTCGGGCAAGAAATGGCCGGCGAGATGGGCAGATAGGAGTTTTATTCGCTATCTAGGACGAGCACCTCGGGATCCACGAGCGCTCGAAACGCGGCGTTAACGAGGTGCGATAAATCCGAGCCGCGAAGATGCAAACGAGATATGAATGAAAAGGTTGCCCCAAGTAAAAAGATCCCGCGATATACCTAGAAGTAGCCACGAACGCGAATCAATGGAATTTCAAGGAAACAACAAGCGAGTCGGGGCGCCAATTTATTGCCGATGCAAGAGGCAGCGGCGCGCATGAGAACAATAAACGCCGTGAAAATATCAAAAAGCTGTTTGTGAATGTCGCAAATAAATAGATAACGCGAGATATGAGTGACTTAAAGTTTAGAGTCACTTAAAAAGTCACTAAGGTTCGTATTAATAGTTATTACTTGAAATTCATTTCAAATGAGGCATTCAGATTTGAATTCAGAGTTGAATGAGAGTTCCTCAGTTGAATATCGCGCAATTACAGACATAAATGTTACATGTATTATACTTCAACTAAAATACATGGACTCTGAGCAAAAATCTAAGGACAATATCAATAGTTATTACTCGTAACTATTCTCAAATGAGATACTCAGTTTTGAATTCAGAGTCGAATTAGAGCTTTTCAGTTCAATCCCGATTACAGATATCATACTTCAATTGAAAACCTTGAATCTAACCTGAGAAAAAGCTAAGGTCCGTTTTAACATAAGTTTAACACAAATGCAATGGAATTACTAGAGATGCCTAAGGCGTAGCAGCAATTAATCACAGCTCACTACTGTTTTGCGAATTTACTCGGCTAAATGAAATATACCTTTCCTCTTTCTTCTTGCTTTATTCTCGAGAGATGTCCCGAACGGAATCGCTTTCGCGGCCAGGTGTCTTCGTGAGAAGACAACACGGTCACGCGTTGCATCTCAATGGCGGCTGATTAATCGCTGCTGATCCACAACAAGTACAAAATCACGAAAATGCCGACGTAGAAAACGAGAAAGTACATCGACAGCAGGAACGTGATCGATAGTTGCACTACTCTTCGCACCTCCATGCTCGCGGGCGTCTCGGATGATTTTTACGATCGTCTGGATACTGCGCTAGAAATTATAACGGCCGTCCGGCTGTCTGAGTCACGAGAGCTGACGATGATTTCGAATATGCGCGCTGAGTGTTTTACGCACTATTAAGCACCGAATGTATTCTTCTCATCGAATCTCTCACCGCGCGCGAGACCGGCGATTATTGCATTTTTTTGGACTGTGCCGCTTCGTCGAGACGCGCGACGCGTTGGACCGTAAGAGCGGAGATTTCGTCGGAAATCAGACGGGAAGAAAAAGCGCCCGAGAGGAATAACAAAAATTTTCCCACCGAGTTTCCTCAGCACGAATAATTAAGTTGAACGCGTTTCGCGCTTAACGAACGAACAATTTTTTAGTTATTCTTCTTTTTTTCGTCCAACACACACACAAATATCATTCTATTGCTAAAGAAAGAAATTACGTAGTTTATTTTTAATTATATTCTGCGTATTCTACGTTATTTCAACCAGATAGGATTTTATTGTACCGCAAATTGCCCGTCCCCGAAAACGAGTTCGTCGCCGCACGGCTGTGGTGCACGTTTTTCGATTTTCGACCCTCGCACACGATTCTCTTAGGGCGTACTGGACGCTTTCGAATCGAGATACGCGTCAGGGGCTTCGATAATCGATGAGCTTATCGCTACAAAGCGCCCATATGGCGATCCTCATTGTACGCGTGTATACGTCACGGCAAATGCGCGCTCAACGGTATACGTGTAACGTATGCATAACTCAGTGAGCGGCAAACTTGGCGGCGAATAAAACTACAGCGCGACTTCGTGAAATATGTTGCTTCGTGAGGAAAATATGTTTCGTGAAAGTTGGAATTAATAATTAAGCACTTTGCATCGAGATATTCTAAGCTCCAAATATCAAATTGCGTATTATTGTTATATTATAGAAATGATTATCGGCGAAACAGCGATAATCCTTTGCCACTCGTTTTACTTTTATCGTTTGATAATCAAAATAGATCAATTACGTTCGACGATAGGAGGATTTTTGTTGGGATAAGAAATTGAGTTCGTACCACGCACGACATTTTTATCGATATTAATTGAGTCATTACATCGTACATCGGCCATGTTGAGAAACGAGTTCAAGTTTAAGGGTACGCAGGGAGATATGCTTTTTTTTCAGAGGGAAATTAAAATCTCGCAAGGCTTTCGCGGTCGATTGCAAGCGATTGTCGCAATAAGAACGAAAACACACGTCGAGCATTTAATTGGCAGTCACGCGAACACGCGATTGGGCAATTATGGCAATTATCGGCGGCCAATGCGCGACCAGGCGGTCGCGAAAGCGAAACGATACCTGTTACCGTACGATAATTGCATCGTTTGCGATTATTAGTTATGGCCGCGGCTTTTGAGAATGCGAGATGCAAATGAATGGATTAGCAATCGAAGAAAGGGAACTCTAAAGCTCTTGCGGTCACGGTTATTATTATTCATCACCATTAATTAAGGCTATAAAGGAAAGTCGAAGGAGCCTCAGCCTGTTCTCAGTTTCTGCAACTTTGCTTATGAAAAAAAAAGATATAATGCACATAACCAGAAGTATTTTGAGCAGTACAGTTACATCGTCCTAGTTACCTTTGTATGACAGTAATGTATATAGTTATTATGACTCAGTTATATCAATTACATTAATATAGTTGCGCGTGATCTGTTTGTGGCAGCCAGAAATCGGTTAGGATGATATTTACTATAGTTACACTCCAGTTGAAGAAACCAAATATCGTCACTGCTGCAACGTCAATAATTTTAAACAATTGTTCTATAATTGCAGCAAACTATATAGAAATTTTCCAAGAATTCCTCAAATGCAACGCAGATTCTGATTAGAATGCTCAAATTTGTTCCACTATTGATTGTTCCATATTACAATATCAATTAGGTATTTACGGTTGAATCTGGTTGGCACAAACAGATTTGTGCCAATCATATTGATTCTCGTGTATACACATTAAGACTGTAAAGGTATAATCAAGACAATCATGTTGACCGCTTCGGCGATTATACTCTCGTTCTAATTACCTTGAGCATCGAACTGCCTCCTTCGCCGCAGCATCGTCCTTCCTTGAGAGGGAACCGGTGCTGCTCTGTCGTGGCCATCTTCGTTGGCTTCGTCCTCACCTGCACTGGTAGCACTGTCGCGCTGTACTACCTCGTCGCCGCCGATCGTCGACGAAACTGCACTTCCGCTCCCTCCGAAGAACTTCACCTTCCTGGCCAGCTCCGCATATCCGTGTAATCCGGTCTCGCTCAATCTATAAAAGGAATTCAAAGGTCGTTACTTTTGGTTTCGGAGATTCTTGCAATTATACTTGATTAAATAATTTTATCTTCCGAATGTACATGCCACCTAATACCACTTCATTTTCAAAGAAATTTAAATGCTTCCTTTCTTTGAAAAGTTAGGTGTAAAGAATTTCACAAAAATAAATCCCTTTAGTTTTATTTTAGCACAACTGTTTCTTCACCTGACGCTTTCGCTGCCGCTGCTCTCGTATCTGGTGCTGCTGTTGGACTCCCTTCTGGTCCTCGTGATAGCGTCGCGTATCCTTTGGGATGCAGAACAGGAGTCTCCGCCGGTTTTACGTGGCAGAGCTGGAGTGGGCTCGCTCTCGCTCTCCCGGGGACTGTATCTTGATGATCGTGTGCTCAGTGGACTAGCTTCCGGCGACAAATGCTGCAAGTAAAGATAGGAATTTAGTTAGAAACGATCTTCTATAACACAGTCAAGATCTTTCAAATAATATAAATACAATAAATATAAATATTGTCAGATTATCAAGTAAATTTTGACAGTTAAGCTTTCATGACTTTAGTGTTAAAGAAGAGGGGAGGGTAAGGTGCAAGAGGAGAGAAAAAGAGAGAAGAAGAGAAGAGAAATCTGCTCAAAAAAGAAAGAAAGAAAGGGTATATTTTTTTACCATTATAGAGTTACTTCTGCTGTTTTCAATCCTATTAGATTATTGTTCTTAGTAAATAGTTACAAAATTATCCTAATTACCTAAAAAATTCTAATTGTTATATTTTTTTCATGATTATAAAATATAACAAATCATTCGTCAAGAATTCTTCAAGATATAAATTGAGAAGAATTTATGAGGAATATATTAATATTTTATTACTAAATTTATTTCAACTGAATGACAACTTACGCTTGAGCAACGCTTATTCGGAGTCTCGTCGGTGTCGTCCGGATTCGAGAATTCCTCTTTGGAGAACTTTCGCCGTACCTGCTTAAGAAACAATACTTGCATGAGATATATTATACCGAGGCTCGGTATTAAGCAATAAGAGAGACTCATGAATAATAATAAATAATAAAATTTAGCCGCGCGTGTGTGCAAGCCACCTCCTTCTGTCGATTCATAAATATGTTAATTTGTACTACCACGTGAGAACGCCTATTTCCCAGGATATTATTATTAATTATTATTTCGTCACTTCTTACATAAGCGATATAATAATAATGTTTGCACCTTTTACTTCTCGTGTTTTATACACTTGAGTCAAATTTTTTTTGTATTAAAAGAACTTAAGATTATTATAATTTTTCATGAGAAGTCATCCGAAAATTTCGAAGAAATTATTATTTGGAAAGAGACTCTGCTTAATCGCTATAAATTAAATCTGCGATAGCATCGATAACTCAAATACATTTCTGATGAGAATTGAAAGTTCTAATTTGCACAGAAACATTAAAGGCTCAAGTAACTTTTATCATTTCCGTCCACGAAAATGTGCCAAGATGCTTATCAGATAATTTTTTCTTACAAACAAAAAAAAGTTAGTTGTATTAACGTGATATTTATAGAATGAACGAATTAGCGTGTTAACGTTGAAGGATACAGAATTTCTGGGACTCCTATAACCCAAATTTGGCTCTAAGAATTAGACGTTCTGTTTCCTTCAATTAAAACGGTTCGTTCCTTTATATTAATATGATCAAACTCTTTTCTCCGGGTCATCATTAATGGAAGACACAGTAACATACATTTTACCAAGCAGAGGAGGTTCGCATTTCGCAAAGGGTGCCACCTCCATGCACATGGACTCACGCACACATATTACGCCCACGATCGACCGTATTCACTGACCACTTGGAACTCGTCCAGCCTCTTCCCATAGCCAATTTCCAGTAGGCTCCTCCGTTCGCCGGCGATACCAGTGACGTCACCGTCGCTGCCATCCAAGAGACGCTCGGCAGTGTCTCTGGTCTCGTCGTCGTCCTGCTTATCGTTCTCCGCGGACTCGACCGGTTCTCGCGCTAGCAAATGCTTCTCGTCTATCACCTCGCCTACGACCATCGTGTCCTGCTCCCGCCGCTCGTCCTGTGTCCTGTCTTCCGCGACGATCACGTCGATCATTCCCGTGTCCTGGAGAATCTCGATATCAGCTTGTGCTGTGATCTCCTTCTTGTCTCGTTTCGCTTCGTCCTGCTCGATGTTGGTCGACTCCTCGCGCTTCAGTGACAATTCCTCGTTAATATCGATGGCGTCCTTGCCGTCTTCGCACCTGGTCTTGTTCTGTTCGCCAGCGGCTCGCAATCTCGTCGCGCCGCCCACGCCTCGATCCTCCGTTCTCTCCTGCGTCTTGTCCTGCTGCTTTCCTTTCGTGGAGCCGATTGAATTCGCGCTTTCTCTGCCCACGTCCTCACGACTGTTGTCTCGACGAAAGATCCGTATTCCCGAAGCCTTGCCACCACTGCCGTCGTCCTTGTTGGCGGACGACGAGGCAATGAGCGACGAGGTCTTGGTCTCCTCCTTGGAATCCTTTCTCGCGGACTTTGACGAATGGCGGATGTCGTCCTTGCTGTCTTGCCGCTTCAGTCGCTCCTCTTTACTACGCGACGACAGAAGTTTCGGGATCAAACTTGGCAGGCTTATGTCTTCACGACTGCGACGCAGGTCGTCGGTACTTCCTCTGTACCTGGTCAGAATAAAAGAAGGATATAATAATTCACAAACTCAAAAATATACTCTAAATATAATGTACAAAGATATATCACTTATATACTACTGTGTCCAAAAAGTAAGACCAATTTAAAAATTTTTTTTTTAAATCTTTATTTATTATTCCAAATATATTTCGTCGCCTTCAAAGTAATCCCCCTCAGACACAATACACTTATGCCAACGTTTTTTGAACCTTGAAATAGTTGTTAAAGTCGATTTCCGGAATGGCCTTCAAAGCTTTCTTCGATTCAGCTTGTATCTCTTCAATCGAGTCAAAACGGTGTCCCTGGAGCGATCTTTAGGGAATAGCTAGAAGTCAGGTGCTAAATCAGATGAATATGGTGGTTGTGGAACGATATGGATCAATTTTTAGCGAAATGGTCTCGAAGAACCAATGCAGTGTGAGATGGCGCATTATTGTGGTGCAAAAACCAAGAGTTGTCTTTCCACAATTCCGGCCTCTTTTTGCGAATAGCTTCACGCAAACGACGCATAATTTGACACAGATGTCTGTCACAGTACTACCAATTTAGAAAAAAAATATTTCTGACATTCGATATACCCGCGCAATTTAACTTGAAAATTGGCCTTACTTTTTGGACACAGTAGTATTATTCATGAACTTAAAAATACGGCTTTACACAAATTTTTCTTTCATTCTTTTTCGTGCTTCTTGTAACAGAAGTTTATATCCAAAACAAACGTGGCAAAATTGGATTCCAACAAAGAACTCTTACCTCTGGGGGATAAGCGATCGCTTAGGCGACTCCTGCGGGCTACGGATATCCTCAAACTCCTTGGAGCTCCTCCTGAAGATGGGAATGTTCGATTTCCTGTCGCCATATTTCGTCGGACTCGGTTTCGTTTCGGGGGATATGAACTTCGTGAGGATCCTGGGCGGTTTTATCAGCGAGATTCTCGGTGTACTTAGTTCCTGCGTAGGATCCTCCTGTTCTTGGTCTGCCTTGCTCTTGGTCGATCGTTCGGTTCTCTTGAACCTTATGGCATCCGGTGATGGCACTTCCTCCTCCAATCTACCGGCGGTTCTTTCTTTTCTCGTTCGTTCGTTGATCGACGCGCTTTTCTCGATCGCCTCACACGCGTCCTTTGAATCCTTCCTGTTATTCTCGACGCGAGTATCCTTACTGTCTGAATTGCCGTCTCGCGAGTATTCGGACTTCAACGACGCGTTATCGTTCTTTGAGCCTTCCAACGGCTCGGGATAGTCCTGATGACGGGACGGCAGACTGCGATATATCCGCAGCTCCGGGGATTTTCTTGTGGCTGACCAACGCGTTGGTGGACCTTTCGGGGAAAAATTTATGTAACAAAATCGTAGTCGTCCAAGATAAACACAGGAATATGTTCAGCTCCAACAAAAAGGTGTCAAAATATATATTTACTATTAACGTTAGAAACTAATGAAAAGCTATTATATTTTTAATAATAGTCTACTTTTTGCTTATTTTTAACGTCTTCTTTTATATATAATGTTCACTGAGAGAAATTACCCGATAAAAAAATTAACAGACAGATAATTTTGATCAAAATACCGATGAATTTTTGTATCTGAAGAGAAATATCGGTTCATAATTTTTTGATCGGTTTGTTCGATGAAATGCTATAATACCATTATATCGAAAAATTAAGTTTAATCAGATATCCTGATTGAATATAAAAATTGATCGAAATTTGAAATATTCGTTTTAATTTTTCGGATAATTTCTCTCAGTGTTGTTGTTTAGTATAAAAATCATTTAACACTTTGTCGTACTAGTAATTTCTTTTAAATAAGTCAAGATTCCTCGAAGGATACGAGGAAGAGAAGCTAGCTATTTTATATTTTACGAAAAGATTGACGTTTGCTTTCGCGCCGCGCAATACAACGGAGACAGTGAATTTTTATAAATTATTATAATTGATAATGATTAACAAACGCGTAATGTTCTCGCTGACATTTAGCTTTCGCCGTCTGTTAGTGCGTTTGCACTTTCTCCCGAGTCATTGATCGGAGATTAATTATCGGTACGCACCATTAATCGTCCAAGCACGTCGGATGCTGTGGTTCAGCGAGTTTACAGTGGACGACGACGTTTTCTCGCTCAAGGATTCCTCGGTGACCGGGCCTCCGTACATCCACTTGCCAGTGAGTGCGTGTAATTCTCTGAAAATTGAACAGGCGCGAAATTAGGCCGAAGGTAGGTCGAAATTGCCGCGATGATAGGAAGCGAAGAACAAAGGATGCATCGCGGAAATAAAGAGGCATATCCTCCATTACTACTCGACCTGAATTCAACGTAGCTGAAGTTTCACTCGTCTGATTTTGCTTCGTTTGTGTATTGATACCGCGCAGAGAAATTTTCCAAATTTTCCAAATAGAAATCTAGCTGACAACATTCACGTGCAATTATCTATTCTGATATAAGCAACAAAAATGTAGGTAGAACGCATTATTCAAAATATGCAAAATTTACAAAATAAACGGAAATTCATAAAAATATTTGAATATTTATTTGTGGGATTTATTTCAGTGAAATAAATTTAATCATCAAAATAGATCGATTATCATATATGTAATCATGAGAAACTCAATCAAATGATGAGATTAATGATTTATCGGTGTATAATTGATCAAATCATGGTTCGATTGATAATCAAGTTTACCGATCGATCAAGTCACTCGTGATTTTATATATGACAATTGATTAATTTTCATTACCGATTAATCGGCTATTATGTTAGCCGACTAACGTTTCGATCGATTAATGCCCAACCTTGCGTCACACTTGGACGGTCAGTTTTCCGCGCGGACGTCCGACGAGGAAGCGATCGGCCGCTCGTGGGAGAGCGCTCCTTCCTTCGGTATACTCACGCGATCTTGTAGCAAACGTTGCAGATCCACTCGATCTCCTCTTTGTCGCCGGTGTGGCTCCTGATCTCGACGCGACACTGCCGGCATATCCGATGCCTGCAGCGCGTGCACACTGTGCCGACGTTGTAAAATCTACCGAACGGCGCGCCGCATCGCGCGCACTTGCGTCCTTGGTGCGATAGTTCGCCGGACGCCTTGAACAGGCCCCTTCTTCTCAGGTACTGTAGATCAGCCTTCAGCCTCCTGCAAACACAAAGCGGAACGCGGGTTAGCGGAGTATATGAAATTAGCCTCCCCTTTGCTGAAAATTATAATTGTGAAAGTTGCTGCAGGTTGTTCTAACTTGTGTATCACACTGTTCCAAAACGATACTATTTTATTCCAAACAGTTCTCCAACAAAACGAAAATTTACTTAGCTGGCGCTCATCCTTCAAAAAATCAAACTTTCTTATCGTTATAGATTGTTATAGTTGTTTCAAACATTATTCCAAAAAGAGAAAGCCATAAATTGAATCAAAAGTCCGTTTTTAGATAAATCGGAGCAAAGAATAAACATACCCTCTCTTATTTGCTCTAAGAGAAAGCTTTTTGTTCTATATAAATCAAAATTGAAATGAGTAACGGAAAGTATATTTGCTCTTGACAAAAATGACAAAAATATGTACGAGAAACAAGTAACTTGAATCACACTTAATTGAATACAGTATATATTTTCCTGTGTATACAATAATCACTTCAAACGTGACTGTAAAAATAAAATTTATTATGCCAGATACAAATTTGTTTTTTCATTTTTCTTATTAGGATTCACTTCATTCTCATTGGAACATTTTAGTGGCGTGATTATTCGTCTGTCTAATCATCTTAGTCCCAGTTGTAAATCACTTCGACTCCTGAGTGAAAAATGGACGAATCGAACGGACCGTAACGTTATCCGAGCGTTAACAATTTCCTCGGGCGTGTCGGATTTTACGCGGCAAACGTGTGACACGCGATTTTATCGCCTAGACACGTAGTTACGCTCATATATATATATAATCATTGTTTGCTTCCAGTCGAGAGCGCGGCTAATTAATGGCCGCTCGCGCCATTCGTCGAACGTACACACGTACACACATGTATACACACGTTCGGCGAGCGCGATTGTTTATCGAACGGTAGAAACGAACTAGTTTACGAGTAGCGAGACCAAACGATATATATATATATATATATATATATCTATGATCACCATGTCTCTCCACGTCCTCTTCTTCGTGGTCTTCGTGGCGCGCGTTAATGGCCACGACTTACTCACGCAACTGACGCACGTGACGCGCCGTATTCCTCTAGTCATGAACAACCGTTTCATCACACTTCGATAACCGCAAAAATTGCGCGGCCAGATTTTCTTCCTCGTCGAACGAGCGCACGCTTTGCCGCGGCATTGACGAGCTCTTCGCTTCGCGTAAAGACGTAATACTCTCTTCAATTAAAGACGAGCTTACGAACGTTTGTTTTAAACGCTCTCTCTTCGACAAGAGAAAGAAAAAGAGAGATTTGTTTGAAAAGAAAAAAGGATTACACTTGAGTTGTTTCTTTTTCTTCAATTTTATAAGACGAAGAATCACTTAATGGTTTTAACTTAATTTCGCGGAAATTTATGGTACAAAGAAACTTTGATAACTGAAAATTTCAAGGGAGATAAAATGAGATTTTTTAAAGTTTTGTCGAAGTGTACACAGTAAAAAACAATTTCGTTATTGTAACTCCGTTGTAAGAATTGAGACCAGCAAATACTTGGTTGTATACACATAGAAAAATACACATAGAAAAATATATTGTATACACATAGAAAAATATCATTCTGTTGTTAAGAGAAGCAATTAATCAATTTGCTTTCCTTTATTTAAGTAATGGTTATGTATTGGGTTGTGTAATGAGTAACTTGAATTGCAGATAAAATAAAACTATTGCAATTTTATGTCGATTAATATATATTTTAAGACTATTATCAAGAAAATATTTTTTATTGAAATATTATTCTGAATAATAAATTTTTCTAAATAATTATTCTGAAATAAATTCTGAATAATTTTTAACAGTAGAATGATATTTCAGCTTTTATCGGATTACAGATTAATACATACTCGTAATTTATTGGACACTTTTACGAGCCTGTGATTAATTAACGCTACGTTAATGAGCACGTCGAAACGTCGGAAGCGAATCTCGGATGCACGTTTATTTATAACATTACGCAATCAAACATTTGCTTCAAATGTCACCCAGCTGAGTCTGCTGCAATTAATCGAGCCAACTTTAATCCATCCCGATGACAGCACGCTCTGCGCAAATTCACCTCTTCTCGCGCCCCGTCACAGTTGCGCGTTGCGTAGCTCAATCGGTTGCGATTGAAATGACGGGTTTGGTCGCGAAGTCATCCCGATTAGAAGGACAATTCACCACTGACAGCACCGACGATGTCCACCTTCTCTGTCGAAGAAGCCTCGCTCCGTTTGTCGAGTACGTTTAAGTCGTGACTGAAACTCTGAGGAGGCGGCAGCACGTCTTTCCTCGAGCGCGAAATGAACCGGCGACGAGCGTTTAATCGCTCGTAGATCGCGGCCAATCGTCGTAAGACTCGTCGAGGTGAAAAAGGGGCCCGTCGTCATCGACGACAGAACGCGACACGTCCGCGGTCGCCGTAGCCGACGACAGTGTGACTCACTGTCGTCGTATCTAGGCTCCTTTTGTTATAAAAAGATCCGAACGTACCACGCGCACGAGAGGGATTGCTACACCTCGTCGCTCGTTGCCAACGTCGCTCGCGCGCGCGCGAGCCACGCTCCTTGTGGGTGTTCCACCAGGTTCCACTCTATGGTTCCCGATTCCCATTCGCGGAGCACGAAGAAAAGTCGCGCTAACGCAACTAACCCGTCCTCAAGTTACATGGCCGAGTGATAAAGCACGACGTTTAATTCCGTAATAATGCCACCATCAAACGACGTTTCGCTAGACGCCTTTGAAACGTCCTCACCTTGCCTTCGTTACTTGTCCATCTCGCATTTTTTCCGAGCGCTTCAGACGATCGTCGCCATTCTGCGTGACGGAATTCTATTTGTAATTTCTCGCGTGCCGTAATATGAAGAATATTTGAAATCGTCTGACTCTTCAAACGTCTTTTTGCAGGTAGAACTGTGATATCTTTATATTCACGAAACACAACAAACTTTTAAATAATTTTATCATATTCAGGAAATCAAAAAATCTACAAAATTTTACTTTCCTGTTTCCTCAACAACTTTCCTAAAATTTTGAAAGAAATTTTCATTTTTCCAAAAATTGCACTCTTTGAATATCGGGTCTAGCGTAGTATTGCTAACAGGTTTGTTTTCTCGCGCATGCGCACGGCAGACCTCTTGCGTATACACGAGAAACCGGCTCAGCTGACAACACTACTCCAACGTGCCTTTTCGTCGAGTACCATCCTTTGGAGCACACTTTGAGTGAATATTTCTCTGTTCCCTCAGTAACTTTTTCAAAATTTTGAAAATTTTAAAATTTTCAAAAATTGCTCCCTAATATATAGAGTCGAGCATACGTATTTCGTCGACTACTATCGTTTGGGACATACTTTGGGTGAATGTTTTTCAGTCCCTTTAATATCTTTCCAAAAATTTCGAGAAATATTCTTAAATTTCCAGAAATTATCCTCCAAAAGTTGGATTCGGTGCAATGTTAGTAGCAGGGTCGTTTTCTCGCGCATGCGCACGGCAGACCTCGTGTGCGTTCTCGAGAAAGCGGCCTAGCTGACAACACTGGTCCAGCGTGCGCATCTCGTCGAGCACTAACCCTTGGAACACGTATTGGGTGAACGTTTTCCCTTAGTAACTTTCCCTTTCTCTCTCTAGTATAGGATATTACAACATTTACAAAATTCAAATTAAGTGCCACACAAACACAAATATCGTTTTATAATAGTATAATATCGTTCTACAAGAAGTCTCTCGAAAGAATTAAGATTCAAATAACAACTTTTATGAAGAAAAAAATCGAGCCTCTGAAGAAATATCCGAATCAATTTGTAAAGATTCGTCGCGATATTGTGTTTCGCGAATACAATGTTTCGCTTATGAAATGTTCCGGAGGACTCAGGTGTTAGGATAATGAAACGCAATCTGCCCTACCTACTCCAGTCCTGCTCTCTCTCTCTTTCTCTCTTTCTCTCTTTCCTTTTCTCTTTCTCTCTTTCGCTCGTTCTCCGCGTCGGGTCAGGTACGAACAATGAATCGCGCGAGAGACTAGCGATAGAGAACAGCCGAGGAGTAGAATACCAATAAGCCGTTGCCGGTCATCCGGCCCAGGAAGAAAATTTCCATACTCGGCGATGCAAGTTACCTCGCCGCGCGATACCACCGACGGGGAAGACGCGCGAATTTATTTGCGAGTAATCTTGCAGCGTATAACCGACGACGACGACGAAGATGACGACGACCCGACCTGGTCGCGCCGATGACACGGTGTCGCGTTGGGAAAATTCGATTCGACGATGACGATGGGACGACAACGAGGAACTGCCGGCTGTCATCCGCTTTGAAAGAGACGTCAAAGAGATGATAAATGATGTGAAGACGATGACTAGGAACGCCGCGAGAACGGTAGATCGCGCACTGCAACGATCGCAATGCACACATGGCTACGCACCTGGCCACTTCCGCCTGCGACAGTCGAGAAAACTCGCGAACAGTCATTGCGCTCACATCCGGCGGAGTAGCGACAACGTCTCGAACAGGATCAGACGTCGTGATCGGGCAAGTATTATTCGCTGCACATACTCATAACGAATTTGTTTATCGAAGCATTTCGACCCCGTCTTTCCTGTATCAACATTGACTTATTCTGAATTATCAATTCAAAAAAGTATAAAATGAGAATATTATGATTGTTCTTTTTTATAAAAATTTTTTAAAAATTTCATTGTTTATAGTAGCGCAGGAATAGATTGTCAGTAAGTTGTGTCTTGCTAAGGAACATAACAAATTTCAGTAGGAGCACAGCAAATCATGTAATCACATCTCAGTTCCAAAAAATATAAGTAGCGTATATAAAAAAAAATGAAAGAATAATTATTTGCTACAGAATGTTGATGTATCCCTCGATTGCAAAATTCCCATAGAAAAATTTGTACTACAAAATTCCCTCTGTGTAGCGAACTTTTTTATCCAAACGTAATTGAATTATCTACCCAATTGTCGACTAG